TTGTGGCTATTGCTTTGTACAGAAGAATACAATGTCTATGTGACTATTCTGAGCCCAAAAATGTAATAAGAATGAGTTTCTTGGTTGCGAGAATTTCTCTGTAATTGTTGGGTCAATTTACTTCCGTTGTGCAATTTTCCTTACAGTAGTGATTTTAGAAAGGTTAGAATTGAACAAAAAACAAAATGACTTTTATGCATACAATCAAGAAAATAAGCCTTGTTTCACTAATGCCCATCAGATAGGGCCTCTTACGAAAACTCCCCTTCATCACCTGACAATGCAAAATATTGTGAACATGATGTTTCAATTTAAATTCATTCTTATTCTATAGGTCCACAAATTAATCCTCACTGTATTTCATATTGATATAGAATGTACAATATTATTTCAGAACGTTAACCTAGTTAGATGGAATAGCACAAGCGTTATATGTTGAATTACCCTTAATGTAATCAAGAAAAGTAATCAAATTATTGGAAAGATACAAAAGCACCAATCAAGAAAGAGAAAATTGCTTTGAATAATTTGAAAGATAATGTAAGTGTGAAATCTGGTCCCTTTTGCAATCTACATTTGACATCATTGTTCATGTTATATTGATTTATAACATTTGCACCCATGTTCCTGCAGTAGTGTATTCCCCCGTTGAAATCAGATTACTGACTGCAAGATTGATTCCAGTAGATTGCCTTCTTTTTCTTTGTACGTATTTCCAGTTAAATTCTTGGTCAGCCCTTGAAAGACATCATACCGGGTTCAATAATTTCAATTCTTCAAAAGAAATCTCGTTTTCTTATTTGTTTGATGTGCAGTAAAGAGATGGAAGGATGGAACTATTGAATTGGTGGTGGCTGCATTTCTGGTGAACAGGGTGAGGGCATTAAAGGAGTTGGGGGTTGCATACATGGACATAGTGGTGTAGGGGACGGCGGAGGTGAAGAGAAGATAGGTGCTGGGTGTGGGAATAGAGGAGTTGGCGAATTGTTAATATGTGGCATTGGTGAAGGTGAAGGCAGAACAGAACTTGGTGGAGGTGGAGAAGAGAGTAGTTATTAAAGGAAAGAAATCAAGATTGACAATTAATAATGTGCTATGATCGTGTAAAGGAGAAATTACAGGCATGACATTTTAAATAAGGAGTGATTATAGATGTAGTTATTGTGATTAGCTGATAGTCAGGAATATTGATTAGAATATCCTTTTTTTATTTTTTTATTTCTTGTATAAAACTATTGTCATTGTACAGATTTATATATACGAATACACAGAGAGACTTTCTCTCATCTTCCTCACTTATATGCACCATTTTTCACATGGTATCAGAGCATCAGGTTCTGGTGACTCTTGATTTCTAAACACCTTCCGCCACACATATAGCAAAATGAATAAAGAAGATATCACAGAAACCCTTACTGATGTGTCAGATCCTCTTACTTTGCACCATTTTGACCATCTGGGAATTGTATTGGTTTCCAAACTTCTTGAGGGAGACAACTATGGTCAATGGAGTCGAGCCATGCGTATCAGTCTCAGTGCAAAGAATAAAATTGGATTCATTGATGGATCCATCAAAGCTCCAAAGCCTACTGATACAAATTACCCCATTTGGCAGCGATTCAATCATATGGTGCTGTCATGGATTGTAAACGCTGTCCATCCAAGCATAAGTGACAATGTAATTTATTCCGAGACGGCATCTGACGTTTGGAATGATCTGAAAGATAGGTTTTCACAGGGAAACGATTCCAGGATCTATCAAATTCGACAAGAAATAGTTGAACTACGCCAGGGCCAACAATCTGTTTCTGCTTACTACACAAAAATGAAGGCATTATGGGATGAGTTGGCTTCTTATCATGATCCACTAATATGCAATTGTGGTGGATTAAGGAGCCTTATTGACAGAGAGGAGAAAGAAAAAGTGATGCAATTTTTAATGGGGTTGAATGAATCTTATGCCTATATTCGAGGGTCAATCTTAATGATGAACCCACTTCCAGACACACGTAAGGCCCATGCTTTGGTGCTTCAACAAGAAAAACAGAATGATGTAGCCTCCAGACGAGAAACAAGTATCAACCATCATGCAATGCAACTAAACCACTTACAACATACTCAATCGAATAGATTTCAAGCAATTCAAGAAAATGGCAACCAGAAAAGGCAACTTAAGTGCAGCTATTGTGATCGAGATGGCCACAATGTTGATCGGTGTTACTACTTGAACGGATTTCCGGTGGGTCACAAGTTGCACGGGAAGAATGTAAAATCGAAAGGAAAGAAACATGCTGCCAATAACACGCGAACCAAGCAAGCCGAGACACCAACGCTAGAAGCAGCAACCTTTACTACAGAGGAATACAACCAGTTGATGGCTCTGCTTCGTAAAGGAAACGGTAACGGACATAATTTTACCAACACCACAGGTACAATTACTTGCAATTCTGTTCACCATAATTCACATTCAAATTTATGTTGGATTGTGGACAGTGGAGCTACAGATCACATCTCTAAATCATCACCAACACACAATAACCATGATATGCTTTGCGAATTCGTGGAGTTGCCCAATGGTAGTAAAGTGGAAATTAAATCCAGTGGGTCTATTAAATTGACACCCGAATTAGTACTTGATAAAGTACTCCATATACCAATTTTTCAAGTTAATTTGTTATCAGTCAGCAAACTAACTCGAGCTCTAAGATTTAGTGTGACGTTTTACTCCGACTTTTGTATGGTGCAGGACGTGGTTACGAAGAGGACAATTGGCCTGGGCAAGCAATATAACGGGTTGTATTACCTCACCTCGAAGCAGAACCCGCATTTGGCTCACACCATCAACCATAATTCTAATCTTTAGCATCAACGATTAGGACACCCTTCATTTGCACCACTTCAGGCATTATCCAAAACTATTCCTGAAATATTTTTTAATTCACAGCATGTTTGTGATGTTTGTCCTTTGGCTAAGCAAGAACGATTACCTTTTTCTCGTAGTTCAATTTCATCAATGGCGCCTTTTGATTTAATTCATTGTGATATTTGGGGTCCTCATAGAGTTAGTTCTCATTCTGGAGCGAGATATTTTTTAACTATTGTAGACGATTTTTCTCGATTTACATGGATTCACTTAATGAGTTTTAAATCTGAGGCACAATCATTATTGAAACAATTTTTTTTTCATGGGTTAAAACTCAATTTGATTGTGAAATTCGAGCTATTCGAACAGATAATGGGACTGAGTTCACATCCATGCATTCTTTCTTTAAGGATCATGGCACCTTATTTCAACATTCTTGCACTTCCACACCTCAACAAAATGGGGTTGTGGAACGCAAACATCGCCATTTATTAAATGTTGGACGCGCACTTCGATTTCAAGCTAATTTATCTTTAAAATTTTGGGGAGAGAGTGTACAAACAGCATGTTATCTCATAAATCGGCTTCCAACACCTCTTTTATCTCACAAATCACCGTATGAGATCTTACATGCTAAATCACCAAATTATTCTTACCTTAGAGTTTTTGGATGCTTATGTTATGCAACTAATCTCACACCCTCACATAAATTTGATCTACGTGCTCGACGATGCATTTTTGTTGGTTATCCCATTGGTCAAAAAGGCTATCGGGTTTATGATTTAACCACTCATAAGTTTTTTACTTCTCGTGATATCATTTTTCATGAACATTTGTTCCCTTTTTCAATTTCCCCACTAGAGGATCAATCTGATTCCACAGTTTTACCAATGCCAATTGACGGGGTCATCCCCCACTTATCATCTACTTCCCACCCACCACTAGACCACCAAGACCATTCCCCACCAGTCCATAATACATCACCACTTCTCCAGAAGCCTCATCACATCAGACTATATCCATGATACAAATCCCACCGAAGCCTTATCACCTATTGACATTCACTCAACACCACCACCCATCCCCACCTCATCCACTCCAGTACCATCACTTCCCCTTCGTCGCTCTAGCCAAATCACACAAACACCACAATATCTCTACGACTATAAAGTCAATCATGCCATATTGCTTGCTTCTGGTACTCCTTCTTCTACCACGTCTGACATAAGGTACCCTCTTAATCGGTTTATTTCTTACTCGCATTTATCTTCTGCTCATAGAAAATTTGTACACAATATATCTCGCTTGGTCGAACCAACCACTTTTGAACAGGCTTGTCAAGATCCTCAATGGGTTAATGCTATGCAAACAGAAATTCACGCCCTTCAAGATAACAACACTTGGACCATGGTTCCTCTTCCTTCTGGGCAACGACCTATTGGATGTAAATGGGTTTTTCGAATAAAATACAACTCTGATGGTACTGTCGAACGCTACAAGGCACGCCTAGTCGCCAAAGGTTTTACGTAACGCGAAGGAATCGACTATACTAAGACCTTTGCTCCGGTTGCCAAACTAGTCACCCTTCGTTGTCTTTTAGCTGTAGCTTCTGTTCGCAATTGGCAGCTTCACCAAATGGACGTCCAAAATGCCTTTTTACATGGCGACATTTCTGAAGAAGTTTACATGCATCCACCGCCTAGTACTCATCGACAGGGGGAGAATCTCGTGTGTCGACTCAACAAATCTTTATACGGTCTCAAGCAAGCCTCTCGCAGTTGGTTCCAAAAATTTTCCTCTGCAATTCGAGAAGTTGGTTTCACACAATCAAGGGCAGATTATTCTTTGTTTACTAAAACTCAAGGTAATTCCTTAACTGTCATATTACTTTATGTTGATGACATGGTTATCACAAGGAATGATGAGGAAATGATAAGTGAACTTAAAGGCTTTCTGAGTAGTCGTTTTCGGATTAAAGATTTGGGACATTTGAAATTTTTCCTTGGAGTTGAAGTTGCTCGATCCAAAACTGGCATCTCGATTTGTCAGCGAAAATATACTCTTGACATACTGGAAGAAGCTGGCTTACTTGGTGTGAAACCTGCCACATTTCCAATGGAACAAAATTTGAAGCTAACTCCAACGGATGGGGATGTACTCAAGGAACCGACTCATTATCGCAGGCTGATTGGAAAGTTAATATACCTCACCATCACCAGGCCAGAAATCACATACTCTGTGTCAACTCTCAGTCAGTTTATGCAAGAACCGAGAAAACCGCATCTTGATGCAGCCTATCGTCTACTAAGATATCTAAAAGGAGCCCCCGGTCAAGGTTTGTTCTTTCCATCACATGGAAAGTTAAAATTAATCAGCTATTGTGATGCCGATTGGGCTGGATGCCCGACCACTCGAAGATCAGTCACGGGCTACTGCA